CGAGAGGCTCCAGTGTCTATGGTCAGTTTACACGGCATTCCGTTGACCTCGCCCTTGATGATTAGACTGTTCCCATCGTGGGTTTGTGAGATCGAGATCCTTGGGGCTCTTTTAACATCAGCCAGCACCCGCCCCGCAGTTCTGGCTTTTACTCGTTTCTCTGCTGCTGCTGGGCGGTGCTGTTGGCCGCACTACCCTCCTGATATCGTTCACCTTCCCTTTCTGCGGTTCGCTTAGGGCAGCTGGATCGAAGATGGCCCTTTTCCCCACATCCATAGCACCTAGGGCTGTATCCATTGTTGCGGTCGCGAACTGTAGCTGCTGCAACCTCCCTGACGCGATGGGAACGATGATCCTGCCGCACGGCTTCCACCTCCAGTGCATGGGCCAAGGCGTCCTTAAGCGTCTCGTGGTGCCCGAGCCTCACAGCAGCTCTGACTTCCAGGTCGCGGATGCCGTCGATGAATGTCTGCACCAGGTTCCCTTCAATGAGCGCAGGTACAGACCGGTATGCTTTTCGCACCAGCTTCTCCACCTATAGAGCCCACTGCTGCAGGTTTTCGTTGATGCGCTGCACGCGATCTTTAAGCTGCGCACGAAAGACGTGTTCCAGGTTAGCGTCGCCATATCTCGCCTCCAATGCCTCAAGGAGTTGCTCATAAGTCACTTCCTCACCGAGAGCTTCCAGAACTGTTAAGACCTGGTCGCGCAGGCCTAGTGTGAGAGCAGTCATGGCCTGACTTTTATTCCAGCCGTTCGCCTTCATAACAGCCTCGAACTGAATTTTGTAGGCTGACCGGGAAGAGATACCGTCGAACGGTGGCACCTTGAACCCACGTAGCGAAGGTGTTGTAGCTACTACGGGAGCTGTAGCTCCATCTCCAAGTTTGAGTTCGTCCAGTGATTTCTTCATGTCAGCCATTACGTTGTCAACCCGATTGTTTACTTGGTTGATTCGGGTTTCAGCTTTCTCGATTCGGTTTTCAGCTTTCTTGATTTGGGTTTCAGCTTCAGAGAGGCGGTTGTCATGCTGAGCAACCCTATCCTTCACCTCCTTTATCTCCTTCCCGAAGGTAGCGTGAAGGTCCTTCATGAGGAGCATCTGCTCTTCCAACCGACGGGCCTGTTCCTCTTGTCCGCCCCGCAGCTGCTCCTCCAAACGACGAACCTGGTCTTCCTGTCGGCGGGCCTGTTCATCCTGTCGACCCCGCAGCTGCTCTTCCAACCGACGGACCTGTTCCTCTTGTCCGCTTCGCAGCTGCTCCTCCAAACGACGAACCTGGTCTTCCTGTCGGCGAGCCTGCTCCTCCTGTCGGCGTGCCTGCTCCTGCAGCATCACCATCAGAGCACCTAAGTCAGGTGCTGAAGGTGTAGGAGCTACCGACGGGCCTGCAGCCGGTGGCTGGCCCTCCGACGTCTGCGACGTTGCACCACCAAATCTTCGTTGGTCCGTCTCCTGCTGGCGTTGACTTCGGGTACGGACACCCTCCGTTTCCTCCTTAGGTAAAATCGGCATGATTTTATCACACTTCTGACACCAATTGTTACGAGCTTGAGGTTCGTGACAATAAAAATTGCCGATAAAATTACCTAAATTAACACTTTAATTTACTTTACACAAATTAAGACTTAAAACACTAATAATTAAACACAATAATTCACTTTATTCCGCTCCGAAGCTTCGCTTGTCTTGCCAAATCAACACTGCCCCGATCGCATCTTGCAGCGCCTATATATACAAATTAGCAATGAAGCATCCGGAATATTCAAGTAAATGCGCGCAAAGCGACGAGTGTTCGAGTGTAGATTTTCTAGCAACTTAGTTCTTCAGATGGCGCTGTCGGTTGAAAGATTTGTGATGTCATTTTCTGCAAAGCTCCCCTCACTCTCGTTCCTGACACTAGATGGCGCTAGTGTATGACGTTGACTTATTCACGCAACACTATGAATTCTTTAGAGTATAACAAAATGCTACTGCACAATTTAACTGTTATTGTTATCTGTTTTAACAATTCATCTGCAAAGCTCCCCTCGCTCTCGTTCCTGACACTAGATGGTGCTAGTGTATGACGTTGACTTATTCACGCAACACTATGAATTCTTTAGAGTATAACAAAATGCTACTGCACAATTTAACTGTTATTGTTATCTGTTTTAACAATTCATTTAAAATGGAATCATGTTATGATAATTAAACAAGTGAATTTTAGCTGATTTACCATGATTTGTTTAGAGCATAACAATACCTACTCCACATTTTAACTGTTCTTAAAAATACATTTAAAAAATAATTTAAATAAATAAAAGAAAATATATTTTAAAAAGCGTGTAGAACTTAAAGCGCCTCAAATATTTTTTTTATTAAATTACTAATCGAACAAAAATCGATATCGTTTCGTTGTATTTATGTTAGTTATGTGGCAACATCGAATCTGACAGCTATAGGAAATATTTCATGCGAAATGAAATCACAATTCAACAAGCAACAAGTAAAAAGGTACTAGTAGCTTGTTACATATTTATTTATCTATGGGTACTAGAGAATTCACAACTAAATAGTTGCCATTGTTTTATTTGTTTGTTATTTTTCAAATAAATTCTCAAGGACTCATATGGAGTGAAATTGTCGATCACATTATAGTGTGACAATAGTTAAAAGTAAGTGTTCAACAGTTTTCAATTTATTAATTCTAGTGCTGATATTTGATAGTGATGAATGAATGAAATGATAAAGTTGTTTTATTTTTTAACATATGCACAAGCTATATCTGACAAACATAATAGCTTATTTGTAACACGGCGATAAGATTAGTTAGCTAACACCAGATATGGACAATTTTTATCAAATACCAAGAAATAAGACAGTCGATTTTTAATTGTTTTTGGACTACTGGTAATTGGTGTCCTTAATTATTAAATAATATAGGGCATTAAGTTTAAAGTAACATTCACCTATATTTGAGCTTAAAGTAAACAAATCTATTTTATTTTGTACACTTTGTCTTATTTTTTTATTTAATGTTATTTCAGTTGCCATCGTCATCGCGTGAGTGTCATGATTGCTGGCGAAGGACTGATAAAGCAGCAACATGTTAAACTTTAGAACGGGAACCATGTGAATCATCTAGTCCGTAATGTATTGAACCGAGGACAACAAAGCTTAGATCATACATCATACAATATACTGCTGCCTAATTTTGTAAGAGCACCACGCACACAAAATGAATGTTTTTTCCTGGTTGTAACAATTCCAATCAACTCACTGTTCCATCAGCATTGCGGGTATGTCTTTTTATGAATACAATTACTATGTACCTCCAGAATGTAGAATCAGTAACTACCATTTAAATGTAACTCTTGGTATTTACTTTTAGAATCAATATATAACCATATTAAAACATTTAGTGTAGCACAAATTATAGATTTTTCTACATTACTGTAAGATAATATTTACCATCATATAGACTTTGAAAATATTCACAAAATGCCCGAATATACTGTACATTATTATCTAGGCTTATCAAAGGCACAATACCAATAAATTCTGTCGGAAGTTCCTAAAATGTCAAGTAAACATAGTGGATGTTTTGCACTTGCTGTATATTTGATGAAAGTAAGAACAGGAGATAGTGATGAATGCATATAGGCATTATTGCAAGTGCCAATAAACAAATTAGAGCGGCTCATGAATATGGCCCACGAAATATTAAATCAGGATGTTGTTCCTATGAATTTTATCCATTGTTATCAATCTCTGTGCCAAATTCCATTCAGTAATTATGATAAATATTTTAAATTTTAAAGGCAAATAGTTTCTTAGCTTTCCTAAATGTTTTTGTTATCCAAAATCCTAACAACATCATAGGTTACACTGTGTAGAAAAGACCCATACAAACTGATATTTAAGCGGTGAATCTCACCATCATCCTTCACAGTTAGTTACCATGAGCAAATCTTTGTTACAGAGAGCATATGGGATCTGTGAGAGCAAGCACCTGGCCGCGGAGCTTCAACATGTCAAGCAAGTTCTGCACAAAATCAAGCTTCGGGTCCCACGTCTACGTCACAGTGACCGAGTGAAGCCGAATGCAGTTGAGCGTGTGCCTGCTGTACTACCGTATGTCAAGGGTATCACTCCAACCAGATAGACATACATCAAATTTGATAGACCACAAATCCTCGTAAAAGAACCTTAATTCCTACCAAGGATGATATGTGAGGCTATTGAAATTAAAAACATCCTAATTTCAATAGAGAAGGCGGTTGGGTACTACCACCTGCTTGGGACACTTTAATTAATAAAATTAAAACTAAACCCAAGCATAACACTGCAAGACTTAAAGATAGAGTAAGTTCAATCTGCGTAGATTGGACTATAAAAATGATAATAAAAAGCTGAAGGTACTCCATGTCCCAATACTGATATATGGATGGCAGTCACCTCAGTCCCCCGTGACCATGGGTGCTATAAAGCACCTGAAACGTCGGGAATTAAAACTTAAAGAAATTAAAAGCAATAAAATTGGTAAAAGTAGCCGTTAAAAAACTGTATTTGTGAAAATAAAAACTTTTATATCATAAAAATCCCGACTTTTTTTAAACCAATTCCTTAACCATTTCATTATTTTAATTGCATATTATCATTTCCATATGCTTTTATATGTGGGCACCCATGGCCGAAGTGTCTATGAACAGTGGACATCACCCTTTGTCACATTTATAGACGATAAAAGATAGCTCTCTGCGACATATGTCAAACTGACATTCCTAGGGTTGTCCGGATATAAAAAATTGTCGATAGAAATTATTGATGTTTCTTACTATTATCGATGCTAATGTAATGGTGGCACTTCACATGGCTATTTGTATTTGCGTATTTGGGGTATTCGACAAATAACTTCCATGTGTGGAGAGTATATTTGCCATAATTATTGCCGTATTTGCCTATTTGGCAAATATAGCCAATAACAAATACGGCTTACCGATCGTCTGTCGGTTTTTTAAGGCACATCAAAGGAGACAAATAGGCAAATACGCAAATATACTGGCCACACATGGTCGGGCTCATAAGCGCGCGAACTGTCAACCAGTACGGACGGACCTGTTTATAACCTTAATAAGTAATTATTTAGATACATACGGAAAATGAATTGGGACAAAGAAACCGTTGTAAGGTTTTTAGAACTTTACCAAATGAACCCATGCATTTGGGACCCTGGAAACGAGGGGCATAAAAACCGGCAAAGAGTAAACGACGCGTGGAATACAATTAAAGACAATTTGGGTGTACCATGTACCCTGCAAGATTTAAAAAAAAGAAGGAGTCGCTTATGTCTGCGTACCGAGGTTACAAAACCAAAATAAAGAAAAGCGAACGATCCGGATCAGGTGCATCCGATGTGTATCAACCAAGTTGGTTTGCATTTGCATTCATGGATAGTTTTTTGAATTCTGTTTATACCTGCAACAGTACCATAAACACTGTGGTAAGTAATAATACATTTATAGAAGACAATTTCTTTTTGTATATAGAATGGGCCCACCACAAATTTTAGCTACAATTAATGAAATGCATGTCAATTTATTCCTTATCATCTATAAATTACAAAATTAATATTAGTTTTACCGCATCTAACGGGAATACTGAAAAATTAAAAATAAAAATATGAATATCACAATAACCTATAAACAAACTAAAAACCTGTGCTTGCGCATACACTTGGGCACTATAATCCTGTCCTGCGCAGATGGCTAGTCTCCGTTGAGGCTGGCCGCCGTGGCCGAAATTCGGTCTGGAGGACATTATTATTATTATTATCTATAAAAAAAATATAACTACCTATAAATTTTATAATAATAATTTTATTTTATTTTCAAATAATAAACAGATAGGTAAGTTTACAGATCAATCAGTTTCATGTATTATAAAAGTAATTAGCAAAGTCGTTTCTGATTTCGACTGGATTCCTTGGAGATCTTCTAGGAATGTTACGAATATCACGCAGTGCTGGGTTGTTGGGAATATCGGCCCTCCATGACCCTGGTATTATTAAGTCGTCTCCATCATTCAGGTCGAATGTACCAGGTGGATTATATACATTTCTAGACAGTCTACTTCTTCTCAAAAAGTTGTGTAGAACTACACACGCCATGACTACTTGGCTAGCTGATTCAGGTTCAAGTAGCATAGGCGAACGTAGCACTCTAAATATAGCAGACATAACACCAAATACATTTTCAACGATAACACGGGCTGATGAAAGCTTCTTGTTGAAAATTCTTTCTTTGGTGCCTTCTCGATGATTCCCTGGATATGGTTTCATGATATTGTTATGTAAGGCAAATGCTCCATCACCTAAGAATACATATGGCAAGTCACCATTTCCATTTTGTAGTGGAATTGGTGCTGGTAGCCCCAACGTATTATTGTTTATTTTATTCCACAGAACGGAGTTTTTCAAAACGCCTCCATCACTTATCCTCCCTTGACATCCCACGTCGGCATACATAAAGCAGTAATTACTATCAACCAAAGCTAATAAAACGATGCTAAAAGATTTTTTGTAGTTGTAATATTCTGAGCCACTGTTAACTGGAGACTGTATCACTACATGTTTTCCATCTATCGCACCTATGCAGTGCGGGAAACGTTGATGGAAGCCACCTTCTATGTCCAACCAGTCTTGTTCTACCACGGGCAACTGTAACAAAAATATTAATGTTATTTATACTTGCAGGATGAAGAACTTACGATTAATGAAGATCAAAACACAGAACAGGGCCCTATAGATCAAAATATTAGAAGCCAAGAACAACAGGAATTAAATTCAAATGAACAACAGGGTTCAACAGCAAGACCAATATTGCATAGAAGAAGACAAAATAATCCACCTGAACTTATAGAAGCGAAAAAACGAATGGATGAAGCATATAGTTTTATGAAGCAACATTCCCAGCTGCAGCTAAAGGATGAAGATGATGAATGCTCTACCTTTGGGGTACTTGTGGCTAGAAAGCTACGAAAACTTTCTGAACAACGCCGAGACATCATGATGGCAAAAATACATGAGCTATTTGTCGATGAACACGTCTACAACTTCAATTTGCCTAATTATTCTTCCAGTCGCCCAAATTCTGCTGCAACAATGCTATCATACACACCATCACCACCCCAAATCAATATCGCATCTCCGTCAGCGGTTGCAAGTTCGCCAAAGGTTGCATATCCGACAGATGTGGCATCTCTGAATTCTGCTACCAGTCAACCTAATTCTGATGCAACAATGTTATCGTATACACCATCACCACCGCAAAGCAATATCGCATCTCCTCCACAGGTTGCATTTCCGACAGAAGTGGAATATCTTAATTGTGTTAACAGTTATCCAAATTCTACAAAGGTTTTGTATACGTCATCTTCACCGCAAATGGATGCTCCTTCTCCTGCATATCATGTTGAATACTCAGAATACTCTAATGATACTCCTTTGAATCTACCGAATCCTACTTCTAGAATGGTGTCGTATACACCATCACCATCGCAAATACCTCGAGGGAAAAATAATTAATAGCATATTTAATACCTACTTAAAAATAATTTGATTACGATTAATAAAAGTTAATGAAAATTATATATGTTGTTTACCTTGATTTGATCCTTTAGAACCTGATATAAAGCAGCACACACTTCCATTATAATTCTTGAGATTATTTGACTTGATATCTTGAAGGTATAGTGAAGGCTTCTATAACTGTCTCCTGATGCAAGGAATCGTAAAGTAATCGCTAATCTAACTTTTGCAGGTATAGCTTCTCTCCATTTTGTATCCTTTTTAGAAATTATGGGATGGACTTTTTGTAACAAAAAATTAAAATCTGCATAAGACATTCGGCAGAAATTATCAAACTCGTTAGAGGGTTCTGCTAACATTTCTTGAAACCTTGTCTCCATAGATTCCCTGGAAATATAAATAACTTTTATTGTGTATTTACAACCTAAAACCGAGGAGTCTCTTAGAGATAAATTTAAAGAAATTAATATATTAACTTTGGCCTCTCAGTATATTTACCAAAATTTTATGTATGTTCACAAGAACATAGACAGTTTTAGTAAAAAGTGATATACACTCTGTAAACACTAGGAACAAACACAAGCTAGTGACCTATATCTCGAGTCCATAAAGTCAGTAACCCGTTCTTGGGGCAATGTATACGCTATTACTATGGAGTGTCTACTCTACACTCCATAGCTATTACCAAGTTTAAATATTTAATTAATGAAAAACTCTATAAAAAGGGCTAATATAAATGAATACATGGTTGATAATAAACCCTGGGAACGAGGTAGTCGCTTGCAATCTGTTTCTAAAATAAATTGTAAATAGTTTGTAACCATTTATATTGTAAAATTTATTTTAAAAAAAATCCTGCTGGATTTCTTGCTAGTTCTTCTCAGGACAGAGGGTTTTTTTTCCAACCAGTGGTAAAGTAAAAAAAATACTTTCAATAAGAATTACACATGTGATCTATATTGAATAAAAAATTATTCTATTCTATTCTGTATATACTAATTAGATTTAGGTTCTTATTTTATTGGAATTTTCGTTAATATGATTTGCGTGTCATGCAAAAGTCATTCTACAAATGAAATAAACAAATTACTTACTTGGTTCGATTTTTATGCACAGTCAGCATCCACCATCGCCTTGCTCTTGGTCTTTTTTTTATCACTTTGTATTTTTTTACGCATAACATGTAATAGTAACATGCGTTCAAATAATAAAATCCAGCTGAAAGTGCAACGTCCATTTTATAGGTACAACTACTTTACGCTGGCAAACATGTTTCATTTTTTGGTATTTGGCTCCATGTGTGGACGGTTATATCGTTTATTTGCCCTTACGTCAATTTTTTTGCCAAATACGGCAACATGCTATCACAAATACCAAATAGCCATGTGAAGTGCCACTATAACATATAATAATTGGGTTTAATTTAATTACAAACGTTACTAAATTAAACGAATATTTTTAATATAAAATACATTTATTCTCTTAAAGGAGTACACCCCAAATTCATATCTGAATCAGTTTCTGAATCGCTAGAACCATCTTGTAAATTTATTAATAACTCTTGTTCGCAAATATTATCAAATCGGACGCCCCGCTCCCAATCTTCTTCCATTAGTTTTCTGCATTTGGTGCACCTTCTTCCAGTCTTCTGCAGATACATTGTCGGCCGCACTTTTTAATAACTGCAACATTTTATTTGCCGTGAAAGGCGGTGTTGTGTTGTATCTGGCAGCGTAACCTTAAAAGAAAACATATTTTTAATAAGATTAATTAAACAGTAGTTAATAATTAAAGTACCTATCTAACTGAAATTCAAGCAAACAAACCTTTGACTTGGGCCCAGATAAGCTCGATCGGATTATACTGGCAGTGGTACGGGGGTAGTCTTATGACGGTATGACCCTTTTCGTGGGCTATATCATCTAAGACATACGTTGGAGTACTAGGTTTATGCAGACCAACGAGAATTAATAATTAATTTTTAAGCATAGTTTCATTGGCCTCTATTCCTTTTTTGAAGCTCCTTGTGGCTCCTTTAAATTATCTAATAATTTTAAAAACCACTCCTTAAATTTATCAAAATTCATTTCCTCGTGGTATTCAGTACTTTTAGTTGATTTGAATGCCAATAGGCAATTAGGCACAAAACCAGGTGACGTCCCAGCATGAGTGATGATTAATCTTTGACCTTTGGCTTCGGGTACTTTGGTGGTTGATTGTGCAGTATCATCGGTCCAAGCTTTGAATAAGGTATGATTGGTGTTTAGCCATGTCTCGTTTAGAAACACTACTTAGTCCCAATTTGTGATTTTTTTGATTTTTCGGAGAAAATTCACTCGAGCAAGAGCAATGTCGGTTCTTTCCATAATAATTTTTCCTTTGTCACTTTTTTATAGGAAAAAACCAATATTTTTCAATATCTTCGTTAGAGATGGCAAGCTTCCTTTTAACAAATCTGCGTCTTTGAGGGACGCGGCAAGTTTTTTCCATGTAGTCAATTCGCCCCGTGTATAGAGGTCCATGAAGTTTGCAGCCGGAAATAATTATTAAAGATGCGACCAGTATAAATCGATTGACTAATTATTTGTTTGCGCATCAAATATTTGTTTAGATATTTAAAAAATAAGGCGGGTGCTGTAAAATAATAAATTTTTATTTTTTGCTTAAAAATGACGGTAAAAGAATAATTAAACAATGTAAATTTGTAGATTTTCACACGCGCAATCAGCACCCGACATCAGTTTATCCATAAGTTGTTTATTTACACCGTAAATAAATAATCCCATAACCTCAGCTGCAGTGTCCGAGCTCGAGAATGCAATATCCCTAGTACGCTAGCGCTTAAAGCGCTTTTTTCTGTAGTTGGCAGCAACAGCTCCCTAAAGAGCTCTGCCAAAAACCTATGTTATTTTTAACTATATAGTTATAAATAATATAGGTTAAAATAATAATATAGTTATTATAACTTTATAGTCTCCCTTTAGCCTTATGGTATTATGTAGCTGTTTTGCTTTTAATTGTATTGATAGTCTAAGTTTTAACACCTGAGAAGAACTGATTTTTCCCACTTTCGAGTTTCATATTAGTCTTTCAGCTCAGTTTTGTTGTTTCATGAATTTTTTGAATGGATTTGCCACCGAGGAAGAAAGCTTATAGCCAGAAATAACGATGTCAGTGGGAGCTAATAGCATGGAATTCAATTGGTCAAATAAGGTGTTGGTGATGATATAGTGGAATTTTGGGGCTCAAGTCTTCAGATACAAAAATGCGCCTAGGATGAATCCTTTTCGGGAATTAGTGGACTTAGTTATCAGCGTACTGTCACTTCCACATTCAAATGCCGAAGTATAGCGGATTTTTGGCATTACGAACATTGTCAAAAATAAGTTACTTACGTAAGCGCATATCAGCTAAAACAGTCTTTGAGTATTAAACCAAAGGAGACGGCATCGCAAGTCATACCCCTCTGTAAAAGGTACGAGGGTCCGACTCATACTCGTTATATAAAACTAGTCTCTCCGCGTCGTGCGTTATTCCGAAATGATCGTGCCAGTAAATCGAGCTCCGACAAAATGCTGAATTGCAGTGTAGTTACATGAAAAAAACAATCAAAAACGTCAAGTATACAAAATGACAGTGTGACTTTTCATCTGTGAGTATTTTTAATACAATATTAAAGTAATTTTATCATTAAAACTCGTACTTTGTGAATATTTTCGTCCAATACCAAGTGTGGCCATCATAGTTCATAAAGTGAAAAATAATCTATTTTTAAATAAATATAATTTACTACACAAGTTAAACATATTAACGAAAATATATTTCCTAATACCTAAATCAGTTTGTGATGAATAATAATCACTACATATAGATGTGTAGTGCAGCACAAATTCAACAAGATACTGAATATTATATAATTTAATATAATCAATAACTAGTATTTATCAAAATATTATACAAAATAAAGGCCAAATAAGTCAAATCGAAACTTGCTACTTCGCAGCAAAAGTGTGCAATTATTATAAAAATAAACTGGTATCACCGCAACCGAAAGTATTGCACTATAATATATATTGTGTATAATATGTATATGTGTGTAATATATATTCATATAGTGAAGATGAATGCCACAACTTTAGGATCGATAAGTTAATTAACCACGCGGGTTTGTCTGCCAAACTGTTTTGTAGTTTTAATTTGGATTTTACAATAAAGTATTATAAAAAGTAGTAAATTTTTCTATTATTGGTTTGTTTTTACAGATTTCCAAGAGATCCTGTTAGGCGACAAACTTGGATTGTAGCTTGTAGAAACCATGAATCTTGGATACCTAAACGGACTAGCACCATTTGCTCCGAACATTTTGAAAAATCATATTTCAAACCCCAAGCTAACAATAAAAGTAGGTTAGCTGACACTGCAGTACCAACCTTCAACTTGTGGGAGGTAATGTTTGGCTGTAATTATATTTAGATTATATATTTTTATTATTACCTTTGACATCAATATTATTCTACTTGAAAATATTTTATTAAGTTTACAAAAGCATTAATCTATCATATTTAGTTCCTATACTTATATCGTATACTTATATTTATATATATATATATATATATATATATATATATATATATATATATATATATTAGAATCTTCTGACTTACGCAAATCAAAAGGCACAATTCGAAAAAATCCTTATATAGCCCGAACGAGTCCTACTCCCACTGCGAGTACGAGCTAACTCTTAGGCCAAGGAAAATTAAACCGAAAAAATGGCTTGACATAAAAAACAATAGCGTAAACAGGCTTCACAAGTTTGCAAGAAATACTATGCCCTAACAATTAACTATTACTCACCAAAAGCCTATCGCTATCTACGCAACACTTTTGGAACATGTTTGCCTGCACTGAGGACATTGACTAATGGTATGCGTAGACGCGATGAACACAAACACAAATGCTGTAGTGTGCGTTTATTGTGACGCGATTTAATTTTGAATTTGAAGTAAAGTATACAGTTGTGTGTATTTCTTGCGCCCCCCTGATGTTAAAGAATTTTTGTATAGGAATTAACGTGCATGGCCTCTCCAGTTGGTTGAATACTCAAAGGTGTTTCTATAATACGTTGATATAATACATCGATGTATAGCGTCCAATCTTCCATTAGTATCGCGTTTACTTCATTCTATTTCCTTCGGCACGCAAATGCAACGGCTACTAAAAGAAATGTTGTTGTTTGTTTTTTATTAAAACGTTACTAATTTCTCTGTTTTTAAGGTTATTTGCATATATTTCACCTCGTAATAATTTTTATTTGATTTATTAAATTAACATTTCAATTAGTATTGTATTATTCACGTATGAAAAAAATATCAGAAGTAACTGAAAATGAAATATAAAGTGTGAGTTATTACCATAAATAACGTAAAAAACTTTCGTATCATGCAAAGTACGTTTTACTTTATAATTTAGATATATAGTGAATATTACGGCAACGTAGTTTTTACAAAATTGGCGGTGGTAAAAGTATCGTAATAAATATATACCTTTGCATAATGATTTCTTATATTTACGCGAACACTATACATTTATTAAAACTATTATGGATTTTATCGCGTTTTATTTATATTAATTTTAATACCCGACGTTTCGGGTGCTTTCCAGCACCCATGGTTACGGGGGACTGAGGTGACTGATGTCCCGATGTCAAAGTTAACCCGGAGTACCTTCAGCTTTTTAATTATTGTTTTTGGTACGATCTACGCAGAATGAACTAACTATATTTGGAAGTCTTGCAGTGGTATGCTTGGGTTTACTTTTAATTTTATTAATTATAGGATCCCAAGCAGGTGGTAGTACCCAGCCTCCTTCTCTATTGAAATTAGGATGTTTTTTAATTTCAATAGCCTCACGTATCATCCTTGGTAGGAATCGATGTTGGGGCCATCTAGAATATGATCGCAAACTGCAGACTTCCCGGAACGTTGATGCTTCACGTCAGCTATGTGTTCTTTTACGCGGGTTCTAATTGATCTCTTTGTTTGCCCTATATATGAGAGACCACAATCACAATCAAGCTTGTACACTCCTGCATCTTGTAGAGGAATATGACACTAGACGGAT